CTGGATACAAGTCCTTCAGATATTTGATTTGCAAATATTTTCTCCTAATCTGTGGCTAATCTTTTCATCTTATTAACCAGGTCTTTTACAGAGCACAGACTTTAATTTTAATGAAGTCCATTAAATGAAGATTTTTTTCTCTTATGAAATGGGGTTTTGGTGTTATGTCTAGTAACTTGTTTCCCTAGCCCTAGATCCTGGAGATGTTCTCGTGTTTTTTTATAAAAGTTATATAGTTTTACATTTCACATTTAAATTCATTTTACATTGATCTCACAGGTATCCATTTTACTTTTTTTTTTTTTTTTTTTTTTTTTAAGGTGTGAGGTTTAGGTCAGGGTTCATTTTTTTGTCAATGATGTCCAATCATTCCAGCACCATTTGTTGAAAAGACTATTCTCCTACTGAATTGCTTTTGTACCTTTGTCAAAAATCAATTGGGCATATTTGTGTTGATCTATTTCTGGGTTCTCTATTCTGTTCCATTGATCTGTCTACTACTCTACCAATGCCACACTGTCTTGATCAATGAAATTATATCTAAGACTTAACGTTATGTAGAATGATTCCTCCCACTTTTTCTTCCCTAACATTGTTTTAGCTATTCTAACTCCTTTCTTGCTGCTGATTTTACTTTACTACACTGCTTATTCTTGCTTTTAAGGTCTCCCCTATACCTACTATGGGTATGAAAGCTTGGGGAAGAAAGGAGAAAAAAGAATCACAAAGGAAACAATATGTAATATACTACCACCATCCTAAAATATTACCTATGTAATTTCTGTCCATCGATCCTAATGACATCCCAATTTCTTCATGAGAGGTTCTCTACTATTCCAGGACACTTCAGCATCTCTAAATGAAATAGCTAATATATCCCCACTACTCATTAGCCATAAGTCATTTACTTCCTTCTCGTAGATAGTTGTAAATATACTGTGTCCAACACAATGCCTGTTCATCAGGTAACACAGTCCATGTTTTAGACTTCTTTATTTTCCTCCATAAGCTTCAGTAAACATTGAGCTAATTAATTGAGGATTTCTTTTATCTAACTGGAACTTACAATATAAAGATCCTAGGATATCTAGAAGAACAAGGGTAAAAATTAGCTAATTGCTACACTGTTCCTAGTAATAAAGTCATTATTTCACCAAGTCTCAAGATTTTAAATTTAATCTCACTTCTGAATCTGTTAGAGTATACCTCTAGGCTCTTTTTCATTTTCTTGATGAGATGGCTTAGGTAAAGAAAGAGAAGGCAGTGAATAATAAATTATGGTGATTTGCTTTTTTTCTCCTGCTGTTTGCCCAAAATGCCACCCTTCACCCAAATTTTAAGGTTATTAGACATGATTCATCTCTAACATTCCATGAGGATTTAAACTAAAGAAAAATGGTCCAAGGGGCTGGAATATCGATTTAAGTAAATCACAGAACCTCAAAATTTAAAATGAAACTGTAAAAGAATTTACCAAGTCCAGTTTCCTATAGTCCTACCTAAATCAACTACAAGGGGTCTTTGTGTTCTTGGCTAACATACTGAGAGCATTCTCCTCTTAATTATCAATACTTTGCTGATAAGATTTCAACAAAGTAAGGTGTACATCAATTGAAAAAAATATAGTTGCTTAATCCATGTTTTCAACAATAATCATACAGTCTGGAGGTGCCTGGGTGGCTCAGTTGGTTAAGAGTTCGACTCTTGATTCTGGCTCAGGTCATGATCTCACAGTTCATGAGTCCAAGCCCCACAACCAGCTCTGCACTGATGGCATGGAGTTCACTTAGCATCCTCTCTCTCCCTCTCTTTCTTCCCCTCCCCTGCTCATGTTCTCTCTCTCAAAATAAATGAATAAACTAAAAAAAACAAAAAAAAAAATCACAGTCGGCCTACTCTATGATCAAATGCCTGCTCCACAGCTAAAACAAATACAGGACTCCCTCCCTAAAAGTTGTTTGTTCACTGACTGCCTGTGAGTTCAGACTGTTTAAAAAATAATTTACAATACACTATCAAAGTAAATATAATAAAACTACACACACATTAGCTCTTTTCTTACAAAATAAAGCAATCCATATGTCACCACAACACCTTTGCCAAAACTTAATTATTTTGTTCCTCCCCATTTCTTTTTGCGGTAGTATGGTACGGGGCAGGCAGGGCAAGCTGTAACCAGGAAATTTTTAGAGCCACTAGTCTTACAAGCTTTCATCTAGTGTGTCTCTGGTGGCTTCAGGAGGGATCTTCTCCAACACCCCATGTGATGCTCTAGCAACTAAGTATATGAATTATAATTCTCAGAATATACACATTAATTACACTTTTTCTAGCTCTGCCCTTTTCACTTCAATGTTTTATTACAACGACTATAATATGCACAATGCAATATACTACTCCAACCCCCACCACACACAGTGAAACCCACTATTTGATGACCAAAATAAGAAATTTCATAGTTGTAGTACTGCAAGAACATGGAATAATCTGAACTCAGGCATTGCTCATAAGAGTGTCAGCTAGCACAATCACTTCGGAAAACAATTTGGTATTATTTACTAAAGCTGAACACGTGCATACATTCCTGCATCTATTCTTTCAAGACAAGTACACCAGGAGACATGTACAAATACATTCACAGCAGCATTTTTCATAACAAAAATGCAAACCACCCAAATGCTGATTGAAAGAAGACTGTGGCATATTCACACAATAGGATTTCATACACCAGTGAAAAACTAATGAAGTACAATTAAACATGAAATGGATGAATCTTAGGAACAATTATGAATAAAAAACTACACATAGCAGACTCAATGCAACAAACTATCATATTTATAAATTTCAAAAGTGAGCAAAATTTAACATGGTATTATTTAGAGGAGCACTGATACAATTTTTAACAAGGAAAAATAAACACAAAATCCAGTACCCTGGGGCTCAGGGGCATGGACTGGGAAGTACAGACAGTTTCAAAAGGATTCATAAATACAGTTTTAAAACTGGATGGAAAGCTCAATACTTTAATTATTAAGTTGTAAAACATGTAAGTGTGTGTGTGTGTGTGTGTTTTGAGTGTATAGCATCTAAAATCTCTGCAAAATTAATATTCCATCTATAGGACAAGTTTAGCGCAGTCATAAAATGACATTCCTGATCACTGGAGATAATGCCAACAAATAAAATCACTTTATTACAGCTATTTGGTAACTTTTGTAGTGACAAAGAAATGACAGGTGTCTCATAAAAAATTATAGCAAGGGGGAAGGCAAGGGAAGTGGGAGTAGTTATAAAAGGGCAACATAAGGGATCCTTCTAGTGACAGAAATGTTCTCCATCTTGACTATATCAATGCCATTAATCTACTTCTGATATTGTACTACAGTTGTACAAGATGTTACTATTGGGAAAACTGGGTAAAACATACATTGGATCTCTCTATTATTTCTCCCAACAGCAGGTGAATCTATAATTGCCTCAAAATAAAACTTTAATTTAATAAAAGAAAATAGGAAAAGATATTTTTGTCTAAGGCTTCTCCACTTTGGTACTATTGACACTGGGGGACACATAATTCTTCATGGTGGAGACTGTTCTGGGAATTGCAGGGTGTTCAACAGCATCTCTGACTTCTACCCACTAAATGTCAGTAGTATGCCCCAGTTATGACATCTCCATATATTGCCAAATGTTCTCTAGCAGGCAAAACTGCCCCATTTAAGAACTACTGCTTTACTCACAAAAGCAAACAACTGTGGAAATGTTCTCAACAGAAGGAGTCTCAAGAGACATGACAACTAACTGTAATATGTGAGGCTAGGCTAGTTCCTGTACTAGAGAAAAAAGCTATAAAGGACATTACTGGCTCAATTAGCAAAACTGGAATATCAATGGTAGATTAAATAAAAGTATTGTATCAATATGAAATGTGTTTAAATAATGTAAAGAATATTCCAATGCTGGGGCGCCTGGGTGGCGCAGTCGGTTGGGCGTCCGACTTCAGCCAGGTCGCGATCTTGCGGTCCGTGAGTTCGAGCCCCGCGTCAGGCTCTGGGCTGATGGCTCGGAGACTGGAGCCTGTTTCTGATTCTGTGTCTCCCTCTCTCTCTGCCCCTCCCCCGTTCATGCTCTGTCTCTCTCTGTCCCAAAAATAAATAAACGTTGGAAAAAAAAATTAAAAAAAAAAATATTCCAATGCTTACGAAATACACGGTTAAGTAGGTGTAAAGGATCATGATGAATGCAATCTACTCTCAAATGATTCACTAGATATATATGTGTGTTTTACATATACATGTAAATATTGTGTATATATGTATAGATGAATTTGATTAAAAGGTATACAGATGTGTTCTTCGTACTATTTTTATTCTTGCAACTTTTCAGTATGTTTGAAATTATTTACAAATAAAAAAGCTTTTTGTTTGTTTTTACTTGAGGCAAAAGTTGTGGTCTTAACATCCTAATAGCAAGTTTCACAGTAGTAGTCCAGCATAACTGATAAAAATCCCAAGAGGATCGTGACTCCTGAGTGAATAAATTCCTACCTTAAGCCTGGGACATTCCCTAGAAAGAACTCTCTACCTTCAGCATATCTCCTCCTCCCCATTCTTTCTGGAGGCGACCTCTTAAACAGCGCGGAACCGAGAATCAACCTATCCCGCTTTTAAAAGACCATTCCTAGAAAGGTGACTCAAACCCACATTCTTACTCGATTTCTCCATAATTCACTGAGGCATCTTTACCCTGAATAATTAAGAAGCAAAAACACTAAAAAAGTAAGAAAACCACTTATCCGCTCATATGAGCAAAAGGAGGAAGAAAGTTACGATGAGTGGACTAGAGGAGATAAAACACCAAATGTCTTAACAGGTCTGAGGAAAGGAAGGGGTAAAAAGAAATGAGCAGAGAGCCAGCTGAGCGAGGCAGGAAGGGTACATCGGCCAGGAAAAAGAACTCCAGTGGGTGGGAGTGCGTCAGGAGGAGAGGGAGTAGCTCACCTGGCCGTGGTAAGCAGAGGGTGTTGAGTCCCCACCAACTTCCGCACCTGCATAGCGATGTTGCTGAGTTCGTCGCTGAGCAGGCAGCGGAGGCTCATGAAGGACGTGGGATAGCCCACGATCTTCTCCGCCTCTGACACTACTTGGTTCCAGTGGGCCGGGGACCTGGAGGACTGACCACGCCAGGAGCCCACCGAAGAGATGGTATCGAGGAACGGGGACCACCACAAGCATCGCGGGGAACCCGAGACCCCGAGATAACGGGGTAAGCGCAACAGCAGCCGCCGAAGGCTCATAGTTTGAGTCTGGGAGTGTCAGGGATTTGGGGGGTGTCCGGAGGTGGCGCAGGGAACAAACCAGGGGCAGAGGAAGAACTTGCAGGAACTAGAAGGAACCGGCAACTCCTGACCCTGAAAGAAGGGAGAGTTCCTGGAACCGTGACTAGAAACGAACTTTAACTACAGCTTTCAGCACTTCAGGCTACACACACAACAGCCCAAGCTCAGCACTGCCCCTGGCCACCTGAGTAGAAACTACTGCCGCTTCTTAAATGGGGGACGCCATGTTGGAGGCGTGGAATACGGCCTGTCGTAAAGACAGCGAGGCGGGCTGTTCGGGAGCAAAGCATGTTCCCTACTTTACGACACAGTCGTGAACGCTCCCAGAAGGGAGGGGGCCTTGGTAGCGAAACGCTGAAGACGAGGGGTAGGGCGAAAGTTTAGGCTCCTCCCACACCCTTCCTCACCCAAGGTTGAAGGATTTAGGTTGTCCTGGATTGGGGTGGGGCGTGAGGGGCTGCTGTGTGGTGCTCCAACGCCCGGAGCGGGGGCGGAGTCTGATTCACCAGGGCGTGCCCAATTCCCAGCACAGAGAGGGCACACGTGAATATTTGTGTTATGAGCGAGGGTGGGTGTCTACCAAGTCTCTTTTCGCGGCTCCCAGCCCTCCCGGAAGGAGGGGCCTCGGGCGGGGGTGCCGGCCCCTCTTGGAAGCCTCTCGCAGCTGTCCGCCCCCAGCCCCTGGCAGTGGTAGTGGAAGGGCAGGAGGGAGGGCCCCTAGGCCGGCGGGGCTTTTGGAGCTACCCGCCGCTACTCAGCATTGAGACGCAAAGTGAAGGCGCGCGGCTGAGCCCTTTTTGCCCTCAGTTCCCAACCAGACAGAAGGTGGCGTGCCTGGCAGAAAGGGTTCTTTTTCCCAAGGAATGTCCTCGATCCTTGCCTAATCACCAGCCTCCTCGCTGAGCCTCGGTTTCCCCCTGTGTATGACCCAGGCAGAAGCAGCCATGCCTCCACAAGGGTGCAGAGGCCCACGCCCAGCCTCTCGCCTTTCTCACCCGAAGGAAGCAACGTTCACCATCCAGGATTCAAAACTATTACTGGCCCTAGTGTTTTTCACTTACAGCTCACGTATTCGCTCATTGAATGCTCAAAACAACTCTATTAAGTAGTGTTAGTATTCTCCATGTTTCGGTGAGAAAACAGGCACATCCAGACTGTGTGAATTGTCTAAGGCCACACTAGACAGGGATGTTATCTCAGCCAGTCAGGTTTCTGAATCCATGCTCTTAACCACAACATTACACAAAGTAACAAACTACCAACCATGCTTCTCTCTTCATTGCTGAGGGGAAGCAGTCGATGTGGTTATCCTTTAGGTAATGCTACCTTTCTTTGTTCAGGTATGTTTAGCATCCTGCCCCTTGTCACATCACCCAAAACAAGTGTTACAAAACTCCTGTTAATAATGAAGAATATATTACCCAGTTTTACTCTCTTTAAAAAATGCTGTTAGGGATGCCTGTGTGGCTCAGCTGGTTAAGCATACGACTTGGGTTTTGGCTCAAGTCATGATCTCACCATCCACGGGTTAAAGCCCCACATCCGGCCCTGTGCTAACGGCACAAAGCCTGCTTGGGATTCTCTCTCTCCCTCTCTCTCTCTACCCTTCCCCCTCTTGCTCTGTCTCTCTCTCTCAAACTAAATAAATCTTTAAAAAAAACTTGTAGGGGCGCCTGGGTGGCGCAGTCGGTTAAGCGTCCGACTTCAGCCAGGTCACGATCTCGCGGTCCGTGAGTTCGAGCCCCGCATCAGGCTCTGGGCTGATGGCTCGGAGCCTGGAGCCTGTTTCCAATTCTGTGTCTCCCTCTCTCTCTGCCCCTTCCCCATTCATGCTCTGTCTCTCTCTCTGTCCCAAAAATAAATAAAAAACGTTGAAAAAAAAATTAAAAAAATAAAAAATAAAAAAACTTGTAAAACCTCCAACTTTCAAAATCCTTTCAAATTCATGATCGATATTTTAAAAATTAGTATCTTGCACAGTACTGGACTAGATTCTGGCTACATGTAAAAATTCAGATTTTAAAAAAGGCAAACTAAAGTAATTATTCACTTTGCAAAAAGATGCGTTTCTCTACAAATTAGCTTCAGACTCCCTTTAAATAGCAATTATTCTTTGTGATTTAAAAATCTGATTTTATTTCCAAAAATTCAATTTAGGCATAACTTTTCAGGGATACATTTTAGATCAAGTGAATTGTGCTTGTAAGTGTTAAACACAGTCTACACCCGCAAAATAAGGCAAGCTGAAGTTCAAAATAATTCCTGTGGAAGAGATAACAAACTCCTGGCAATAAAATTCAGCTCTGTTCTAGATGAAAATAAATGTGGAGAGTGAGATACCTTACCGTTTCAAAAAGTTCCAAGGCCTGAGCTTCTGGGTTATCCAAGGTGAAAGAAGTCACGAAAAAATGAAGAGAGATAAAGACTGAATGCAATAGATTGTGCACCTGAGGCTGTTTCTTCCGAATCATAGAACCTTAAGACTAACTTTTCATGCAATTTCCTTAATACCAATTCACAGCATGTACTTTAATTTTTCCACAGAAGCCAAATGCATTATTCTCTGGTCATACTCTATTAACCAAGTTTTTGATTATTCATGGGACTCTTGGTCCCATTTACTTTAAATAATCAGCACTTTCCTTTATGCTTATAGTTAAAAGGTTGCACTATACCTAATGACAATCAGTTTTTAGAAGGTTAAAATGGTATTTATTCTTTAATCTTCCAGATAAATATATAACTCCTTTGAGTCTTTCTGACTAAAGAGATTTCTGAATTGCTACTGGCTTTTGGAGGAGCAGGGGAAGAAATATCTGTGATTCTGACCTTCCTCTGCCACTGGTAATACTCATTTTGCAGATTTCTCAACTTTGGTACTATTGACATTTGGGGGCATGGGATTCTCTGTTATGGGGAGGAGGGCTCTTCTGTGCATGGTAGGATGTTTAGCATCATCCCTGGTCTCTACTCACTATAAGCCCGCAGTACCCCTCTCGAAATTGTGACAACCCGATGTGTCTCTGGACATTGTCCCTCGGGGGCAGAATCAGCCATAAGAATATAGGAAAATGGGAGATGCTGGAAAAAAACAAAAAACCAAACCAAAACAAACAAGGGCCATTGATGACATTTACTCCTACAAAGCAGCAAAAAAGAAGTCCCAGGTATGAGTAGTCCTGCAAGTTAAAGTGGTCACTCCACAATCTGTGGAAACTTCCTGCCATACACAGGGACTTCTCCAACTCCTTGGAACTTGGGGGTTGTTTAGCAAGGTGGCAAAAGATGGTCATGGTTCCTCCTACACCTTTCTCAGAATCCTGAAATTGGTAAAGTACCAGTCCTCTCTGCCTTCTGCTGACCTTAGAAACAAGTGAAATTATATTTGATGTCCTTTTCTTTGGCTGGAGACCTAAACCAGCCTTTGAAAGTACAAGGTCTTAGCAAGGATGGTGTATGCTTTGGGCTTTGGCCATTTCTATGATTAGGTGAGTGGGAATAGATAGGGACACTGCAGTCACCCTTCTTCTACCACCCTCAACACAGTCACTTATTGTTTATGCCAAGAGAGTGCTTTCCAAAGCAGTTGAAAAGCATTGTGGTATATTATGGGGCAGGATGATAAAAGGAGGCGAGTAATCAGACTAGCAGCAACCCAAAAATTTGACTATCTAGTGGGCTGCAGGCTGTAGAGACAGCACATATCGCCAGTGAGATTATAAAATAGTTTCACAGCACCTATGGAAGGGAATTTGATAATCCCTAGAAAAATTACATATGCATTTATCCTTTGACCCAGAAATCCCAGTTCTAGGAACCCTTTCCAAAATACAAAATAACATGCACAATTTTATTGCAGTATTATTTGCAATAGCAAGATTGGAAACAAACCAAACAACCGCAAGTAGGGGAGTGGTTGAATAAACTGGAATAAATCCATGTAATGAAATACACTGTGTAACTCTGAAAAAGAACGAAGGCCATCTCTACACTGATGTAACATGAGCTCCAGAATATGGGTTAGCTTTAAAACAACAATAGCAACAAAAAACAAACCAAGATGCAGAACAACATAGTGGTCTTTTTTCTGGAAGATAGGTGCACGAGATGAATATACACTTGCATATGTATTTGGGCTGGGAAGAAACAGAAGGGACAGGCATGAAACAGACTACTCTTTACATACCTTGACTGTATAGTTTTGAATTTAAAATCATGTATAGGGGTGCCTGGGTGGCTCAGTTGGTTAAGCTTCTGACTTCGGCTCAGGTAGTGATCTCACAGTTTGTGAGTTTGAGCCCCATATCAGGCACTGTTGACAGTGTGGAGCCTGGAGCCTGCTTCAGATTCTGTGTCTCCCTCTCTCTCTGCCCCTCCCCTGCTCAAAGGCTCTCTCTCTCTCTCATTCTCTCTCAAAAATAAACATTAAAAAAATTTTAATCATGTATATATTTGACATATCCAAAATAATTTTAAATTTTAAAGAAAAATGTAATTCCTAAAATTTGAAAGCAAACTGAAGCAAATGATCTAAATGTATATTAAGTTGGTGACATAACCACATCAAGTAAATAATTAAATGATTTTAGAAAGTAGTGTTTTTATAGTGCACTTATAGTGGAATATGTTCTCAGGATAAATAAACCTACAAAGAAATCTTAAACTTCAATCAGTAGTCTTATTGCTGATAGAAATATAGATATTATTTCCTTCAAACTATTCTTATATGTTATAGGTAAAAGCAAACGTTAGAGTTGTTAGGAATGATGAGTAAGTAGAATCCATGTAAAATTAAAGTTAAATTGGAAGTAGCATGAACTTAAAACTTGTCCTTTTCAAAAATGTTTCTTATGGGCCAATAAAAGTTTATACAGGCGCCTGGGTGGTTCAGTCAGTCGAGCATCTGACTTCAGCTCAAGTCATGAACTCGCAGTTCTTGAGTTCTCTGTGATGACAACATGGAGCCTGGAACCTGCTTCAGATTCTGTGTCTCCCTCTCTCTCTGTTCATCCCCCCTCCCCACCTCTCTCCTTCTCTCTCTCTCTCTCTCTCTCTCTCTCTCTCTCTCAAAAATAAATAAAGACTAAAAAATTTTTTTAAAAAGAAAAAGAAGTTTTTACATTTACGGGGGGAAAGGGTGGGGAGGAGAAGCATTTATTTGTTTTGTCCCTTGAAAAGACCAGGAAATAACGATAATCCTATAGCAACGAGTACCTTTAGCATTCATATCATACTTCCAAAACAGCATTCCCTTTTAAAAGGGCTGAGTCCTTTAGAAGAATGGCAGATTTCAGGTCTGGGGCAAGAAATGTGCATGATGAGC